TTGTCCAAACCTGGCCACTTTAAGATGGGTGGCCTTCAACTTCCAGAATCCCCCAGCCAGCCATGATTCCCCCATGCTGGCTGGGGAATTCTGGAAGTTGAAGTCCACTCATCTTAAAGTGGCCAGGTTTGGACAACACTGTGTTAAGAGGATGACAAATATTTATTGTGGCCTAGAGTCTAGCCCTTAACGTGGAAAGAAAGTGTCCCCACTCCTCCTAAAATCTATATGATGTTTATGTTGCCTGTTGATTTGTGTTTACAATCAAAACTTAGCAATGATTCTGAATAATTAAATAATGAACTTCAATGTACCCCCCTGGAAGATGACTGTGATATGCCAGCATTAAAGGTCCTAGTAGTGACCTTTATATTCAAATTCTTCTCTTGGATATTAGCCTGGAAATACAAAGAGTGTGAACTCACTTTTCACTGGACATCTTCTGCCACCATTTTGTGAAGCTACTCTAGGGATTTGAATTTATCAGGAAAGAAAATGTAGTAGAAATACTTAGATTTAATTCTGAATCAACCTGCTTTATGACAACGGTGACTATATTTTCCTATGTACTCATCAACAAATCTCACTGTTTCATTAGAATTTGCACCTAGATGAACAGGTATACTGTAGGTTTGACTATAAGACTGAAATTGCATGTATTTAGGGAATGAAATTATTGATTTCACTGTGGATTACTCTTAAGTAATTGTGCAAGGATTGCAGACTAAATGTTCACAATCTGGTGAATAGTAATAATGTCAATTTTTGTGAACTTCTGAAATCAAGTTTAAATCTCATCACTTTTGCTGAATGCTGCCAAGCAAATACATAAAATTCTCAACATTTACTGGCATGTCCAAGCTCAAACATTCACAAAAATTCATCTTGCTACTGTCACAAATCATATGTGACTGCAAATATTCATGGTATGCCATAGTTATATCAGTAAATATTTCTATAGAGATTAAAATATTTTTAATTGAGATAAATGACAACATTTCCTAAACCATGGATCCTTTAAAAAACTGCAATCAAAATGCACAACTAAATCAAGGAGGCCAAAAGGAATTTACAGAGGACCATTCTGACATACCTTTCAAGAAAACACATGCCTTACTATCAAAGAATCCAGAAGAACCCATACTCCTAAGCAAGCATGCAGTTCTGCATTTGCCAGATGCCTCAGCCAAATAGTCACTGAAGGGGACAGCCACACGTGGCAATGCTCAGAAAAAAAAAGAACCAGAGCCCATGTTTGAAAGACAAGAGCCAGACTTGTCAATAATGGCAGGGTTAATACTATAAACTAAAATACGTTGTCAAAACCCTCAGCGCAAGCATGGCCGTAAGCAACAGGGCCTTCATTACCAGTGCCAGAGAAAGAGAGGGACATTCCAGACGTTTGTTAGCAGATAGTATGTGTTACTAGGTAAACCCAAAAATTATGCTCAGTATGGAGTTATAATTTTCAACCTTTGGTCTTGCAACACATTGTTTTGTCAACACAATCGAATGACAGAGAAATTAAAATCAGAGTACAGGAACTTGATTTCCTATACAGTGCAAAGTAAACTCTGCTATATATTTTCAGTTCTCAAATGTCATCCTCCATAAATTCTGACAGAAATGTAGGAGTCCATGAAGGAGAGTAAAATTCCTATTAAATCATATTCTTTATGTATTCAATTAAAACAGCAATACGGTCCCTTTTCTTGTTTTATCCATCATGAATGTCATAGGTTTCTCTGTTTTGCCTGCACAGAATGCATCTAGAGGTTCTCTGATGCAAGACCCATTGAGCTTAACTGGATTTTGGGAACACTGTTGCCTTAGATATTGTTGTAACTTGAATCGTTATATGTGCAACATTTTTACCAACACTTTCCATGATCTAAGAACTGGATCCCTCTGTTACTTGGGAATCACTGTTTGACTACAGTTGTGAAGCAAGCATTTCATTCATTAGAAGGATTTACAACATATTGAATTAGCAATGTTACTGAACCCAGTTGGATTGTGAAAAAAAAAATCATGCACCAGTTACAGGCAGAATTTATGACCTGCTCGGGCTTTGGACTACGAAAGGTTTAGGTCGAATGTTATGCTTGTGTTCAAAGTAGCTTATGTCCTAGAAAAAAAGGAAAGGGTTACAAAACAACTTTCAGCAAATTACAGTACATTTGTTTTCAAAGAAGATTAGATAACACACACACACACACACTGAACATTATGGAACATAAGTTGCAGAGTAGTAGGATTAACACATTCCCTGTTATTGGAAGAAAAAGAGAGGGATGGCTACAGTCAAGCCAAAATCAAGCCCTTTTTAAAGCTGCTGGCCCTATACTACAATGTAAGTCCCACGAAATACACAGATTTAAAATGTTAAATGTATTCAGGACTAGGCTGCACACACCAACTTAAACATCTCCAGTTGAAATCAGTAGGAAGTGCAGTTTCAGCCCTGTCATGTTTCTTCAGATGAAAGTCAGATTAAAACTGAATGGGTTTCAGTTCCTTGCATGCGTGTATGGTCAGGACCAGAAATATTGGAACAAGGATAACTGTTTTGTCATTTGGCCTCTGTACACCACCAAACTGAAGTTGGAAGGAAACACACACAGATGGGAGATGAGGACTTTCAGCTGTAATTCAAGGGGTTTGACAAAAGTGGGGCACCAACCATTCAGGAAGTACAGCCAGTGGCATACCCCCCCCCCCATTGGTGGCTCATAAGTAATGGAACAAACCAACATCATGACAAACATAAGGATCGCCTTTAA